CACAAAGAAAAAAAATCGGATATGACTAATTGGAATTATTGTTTTAAATAGATGCTAAAATCATAATCATTCTTTCTTTCATTCTTTTCTTTTTTTTTATCGAGGACAAATTTGATTTAATCGTTGTACACAACGTTCAATACCTTGTTCTTCATAATCACGTCGAGATATCCATTGAGATGGTGCATCTTTAACTAAATTAGCATAAACAGCACCACCTAAAAAGACCATATTTTTTCGACGTGGTGGTGCTTCAATACAAATAACATTTTTTGCTGATTTATCTGATTTTCCTTTTAGAATTCGTTCTTCATAAAGTTTTTCTAATTCACGTTCAAGACGAGTACCAAATCCTGGATACATTGTTGTACCACCACTAAGTACAATTTGTTTATAAAGTTTACGTCGATCATCCATAGGTGCACTATTAATTACTTTAAATACTTGTTCAGCAACACCTTTTACATCTAAACCTAATAATGATGGACGAAAAAGAACTTCAGGTGCTTCAAATCTTTCACCAGATAATTTTATTGTTCGACCATCAGGTAATGTATAACTTTCAACTAAAACTGTTGTATCTAATGCTAATTTTCGTTCTTGTTCAACATCATCTGCTACATAACAAAGTTTCTCTTTTATTTGTTGAACTGTATCAAAATCAGCCGATTGATTGAATACATACTAAAATTAAATCAAAAAATAGATTATTTAATAATAGACTTTCTAAAGAACTTCATTTAATATTCTTAATATATATGATACTTGTAAAAATAATGAATACCTATGGTTGATTTTGTTTTGAATTATACAAGATGTTCTACAAATAAGTAGATAATTATCGTTATCTATTACAATAAAAATCAAGATAAACATGTGTATCTGTAGTTTTGATGCGTACCCAAAAGTTATTCTTGACTACTTTCATATTTAATTGTAAAACATCTTGTATAAGTAACAGACAAAGTAACAATGAATGTCGATAGTTTTTTGTTTTTTTTTCCGATAATATTATTATTAGAAAACTAACTTCACAGTTTAAGTAACTTACAAAAATCTAATTCATTCCTATTCCAATAGAAAAACATATTTTCTTGATAAAAGATTGTTAACAAAGAATGGATATCTCAGTATTTCGTATATTCTTCGTTTGATTCTCAACAAATTTGTAGTTTTTACTTAAACAAAACAGCATACTTTATTTGTTTAGTCTCAATCAAACAAATAGACTCAGAATGCGTCACTTTCCGAATTTTTTATATTTTATCAAGTTCCATTAGAAACTAGCTCTACTAATGTCTTAAGAAATCGGTACAATTGTTTTGAAGCTTTTGATGCATATGGTTATCTTTAGTATTCTTTCGCTGTATGTGCGAGATCCATTTATTTATGAGCCATCTATTAATAGTCAGTATTTTATGTACCCCACGAAGTAGTAATAAACGAATTAAATATCTTGTTATATCACGTCCGGCAATATTAAGTCGTGCTATTGAATTTTGTAAACAAAATCCATCAATAACAGGGCAAATATGTGTAACACCATCACCAATATCAACAACAACACCAGTTAAAATTCCTTGAGCATATAATGTTAATATAGCTTGATATGCTAATGAACATTCATGAAATTGAAATTGATCAAGCATAACTTCTAACATTTTAGCACGATTGTTGACTGGATTAAGTGGTGCTTCTGTTAATAAAATTTTTGCATCTTGTGGATTAATATTCATTTTTGATGGACCAAATAAATATGTATAAACATGTTTCATATCTTCCCAATTATTAACAATACCATTTTCAACTGGATAATTTATTTCAAGCATTTGTCGAACTTTTTGTGCTAGAAACAAATCAAGATAGAAGTTTAGAAAGAAAAAAAAAGAACAAAGATTTTTCTCTTTTCAATTTAAATACCTTCATCACCAACCATTATATCTTGAACTTCAATATTGTTTACTTTAGCACGGGAACGAATTAATGGTCGACCAACCATACATGGAAAATGAAAATCAGGAAAATTTGATGTACAATAACCACATTTTATATACTAAAAAAACAGAAAAATGGCATATTGAAAAAAATCTGTTCGATCTAAAATAATAAAATACTTACGCCAGTACCATTATCGCATACAACAACTTTTCTACCTGCAGAATCCATTCTCAAAATGATTAAAACACAAAAAGAAGAGATATGAAAGAAGAAGAATCACGAATCAACATTTATCTAATGGTATATGTGGTCAACCAATTATATATACATTGTAGATCATGTCGCTCGTATACATGCATTCATATTATAGAACGAAAGAACAAGACACAAATGGACTTAACTTTTTCGTTGCATTCTTTTTCTTTGTGTTCTTCGAAAATCAATAATATTATTAACATGAGATTCGTATTATCATGTTTCTTTTTTTTTTTTTTTTTATTCATGTTGAAAGCATAATATAAAAACAAAACAACGAAATGCTCTAAAGGCAACATAAAACAGTATTCTTTATCAACATCATTCACTCTTTTTTTTTTTTATCTTTACAACATAGGATTTCATGAAATACGCAATTGAAACAAGTTTTGTAGTAATTTTTATTATAACGATTGCTGTTAATTCGACTTTAGTACCAGAAAGTATTAATGAATATCCTAAAAAGCCAATATGGTCAAATTATTTAGCAGATCCATTTGCATTTGAATTCAATGGAACATATTATATGATTGGTACAGGTCTTGGTTTGAGTGGAAATAATGCTACGTTTCCATCACTTAGATCTGATGATCTTATAACATGGAATTATTCCGATGATATTTTAGATGTGATAAATCAACCTGATCAACCGTTTTCATATTGGGCACCTGAAATAGCTGAAAAAGATAATATATTCTATTTGTTTTATTCAGTTGGATTTGGAGATAAAAAACATCGTTTGCGTGTTGCATCATCAACTTTCCCACTTGGTCCATATAATGATAGTCAATCTATAGAATTAACTGATGTAACAAAACTTCCGTTTGCTATTGATCCACATCCATTTCAAGATAAAAAAGATGGACAATGGTATTTATTCTATAGTCGAGATTTTCTTGATACTAATAATGGTTATCGTGTAGGAACAGGTATTGTTATTGATCGTCTTATAAATAATATGACTCGATTAGCTGGAAATGAAACAATTGTTTTACGTGCTAAACATGATTGGCAACTTTATGAACGTAATCGATCTATGTATAATCGTACATATGATTGGTATACATTAGAAGGTGCTGCTGCTTGGCAACAAGAATCAGGAGTCTATATATGTTTTTATAGTGGTGGCAATTGGCAAGAAAAATCGTATGGTGTTGATTATGGTATAGCTTATTCATCACCAATGGGACCTTATACTGAAGATTCAACTAATCAAGCTCGAATCACACATTCAATAGAAGGTACTATTATAGGACCGGGACATAATTCAATTATTCTTGGACGTGATAAGAAAACTACCTATCTTGTTTATCATGCATGGAATGAAGCAAAGACAATACGTTCACCATATATAAGTCAATTGAATTGGAAAACAATGGTACCAAATAATTCAAGTAGTGGACATGATCTCCTTCATTTGACACTTTTGTTTCTTCTCTATATTGTAGTTATTGTCTTGATTTTCCACCATGCTTTATAGTTGATAAAATTTTTTTTGTATGTGTTAAAGAAGGCGTATTTCCGATTCGATTGTATTTCATATAGTGCGGAAAATGAAAAAAAAAAAGAGATATGAAGACGAACTCATCAACAAGTCAATATCTCCTTGAGAATGAGCAAAAAAATAGAAAAAGAAAGAAAGAAAAATATCTGTTAAATTGTTAAGCGAAAGATATGTGTAGAAAAAAATAGAGACATGAAAGAAACTAAGTGGAATTGATCGGAGAAAGAATGATGAATTAATGAAATTGATGATGAACATGCATACCACTAACGTTAGTGGAAGTTTTTTCAATCAAGAGGTTGGCCCGTCATCGCTAATCGACTCATTCTTTTGTTTCAAACATGCTTGCCGACTAACGAAGGCTCACTTCATTCGTACGCTGAGATCGGACCCTAACTAGTACCATTCAATATAAACTGAATTCTCTCCTTCTTTCCCCCTCTCTCTCACTCTCTCTCTCTCTCTCTCCATTTTCTTTCTCAATGCCACCAAAAAGAAAATGAGAGAAGGAAAATAGAGTGAGAAAAAGAAAGCTAAACAAGTGAGCTATTTCCTCTCTTTACAATTTATAACGCGTAAGCACAAAAGGAAAAGAGTAGCAGAGAACATGATGCCGACTCCGACGATGACGACGATGATGATGATGATGATGATGGCTAGAACGAAAAAAAGCTGGAGAGAATTGCAAAGAGATGTGCCATTACCATGATCGATTCTGTTTATCAGATCAGGACGATCCGGTCGGTTGTGTTATGTTGTTAATATAACAGAATTGATGATGATGGATCTTCATTCACATTGGATCAATCGGATAAAAGAAAAAAATAAAAAGATTCAGCATCATTGCCTTACAATAGATTAGAAAAAATATAGGTAAGTTTATATATGTATATATTAATTGCGCGTGTCAAGTAAATGTGAACATGTCATTGTCATACACGCTATACTCTAAAGATTAAATGACAGACACTGATTACGAAAAATTAAGATGAATGCAATACGAACATGCATTGATGCGAATGACAACATTCTATATTTATATAAGTTAAAGATTTCTCAAAAAATTCTGGCATCTATGTATGTTTATTTTCTTTTTGAATGTCAAAAAAAAACAGCAAATATAGATTGTTTTAACAACAACGGACACAAAAAAAATTAGAAAGAGAATCCATCTCAAGGGATGCTCGAGTGGATTACTCAAGTGTCTCGATCATCACGATAAATTTAGTGTTAGAAAGACAACAAATTCCTTGTTTTTTTTTCTTTTTCTTCTTTTTCTTTTCATGTCATATCCAGAATCACAATGAATATGAACGATAAAGACGGTTATTTTATTCAAACTTTTGCAAGTTCACCTTATCATCGTCGATATTATTCATCAATTATGAATGATATTCAACCACGTCGTAATAGTTATCAAATTGCTATAAATACATCAAAACATGATCATATTCATATGAATAATCGTATACAAATGATATCATCATCATCATCAGGATCTTCTATAAATGGTTATGCTCATACAACTCGATCACTTTATACTGTACATGATCCATATTCAAATTATACAAATGATCATTTAAAACGAAGCCTAAGTCAACCCGCTGTTCGTACACCTGATAATGATCTTTTGCTAGAAAATGCAACATTTTTACTTGATTCACCAGTACATGCACTTCGACCAGCTCATTATAGATCCCGTACAACATTACCACCGACAAGTCCCGCATCAAGACGAAGTTCTTTAGCCGTACCTGAGTCTGTTGGTGAAAGTAATGATTGTTCAAATACATCAACCATGCCAATAACATCTGTATATAGAATTGTTATTGTTCGATCACTTGCATCTGTATTTGCATTAGCTAGTCTTTTTTCAACTGAAGTTTTACAAACATCTATACATTCAAATGAAGATAGTTTTCAATTATTATTAACATTTCATTTATGTGCCTTTGTTGGAGCTGTTCTTTTAGCTGCACACGCATCACGTATACATATAGTTCGATATCGTTGGACAATATCAAATGTAATTGCATATGATCGTTGTTCACAAATATTAATTGTTCTTGCAACAATGTTAACTGGTACATGGGTAACAATGCAATATTTTCATTCATACTATCGTTTATTACTTATAAGTGCTGGTATAAGTGGTGTTAGTTATAGTTGTATGATAATAAAATCATTTGATCATATATTACAATTATCGACATCATTACCAATACAAAGTATTAAAAATTTAACAATACGACTTAATATATTTACATTTATTTATAATTCTTTATGTCATTTAGCATTAATGATAGGTGGACTTTTTCTTTATGCTATTATTTTATTTCAACAATATAGACGAGAATATGTTTTAATTGGTTCACAACCATGTCTATTAATACCATGTTTTCAATTTAATGATCAACAAGATGATAATGGACAATCATTAAAACCACCACCACAATCAATTTTAGTTAATTTAACAATGCATATAAATGAAAAACAACAAGGTATATAAGTTTATTATTTTTTTTCTGTCAAATAATCAAATAATTGAGTTGATGGTTGTTGTCGGTTTTTTTTGTAGAATGGCAAACTGAACCAGCACGTTATATTTTTTTTGTCACTTTGCTTATATTAACAATAATTAGTTTATTACCCCAAGCTGGTGCTGAATGGACAACGTCAATATTAAGTATGAGTAGACGTTTATCAATATTATATTATTCAAATGAAAGTACACAAAATGACATATCAACATCATCCAACAGACTTATTCGTTGTCGTCATTATCTATTTGCATTATTTATTGGTTTTCAAGAGGGTTACCTCTTTGGTAGTGTTATAAAAGTAATAAATAAAAACTTCATATAAGAATACTCATAATGATACTCATATATATATATGTTGTAGTTTGATGTAACATGTCTTTTTGGCCTTCGACATACAGTTGAAATGCTGATTATTTATGGATTAGGAGGAGCTATATCAAGTACCTTAATTGCTTTTGTGATTAAACGTATTTCAATTATGGTAGATAAAAAATAATTGAAAAAATAAAAAAGTTAAATTTGAGTTATTTATATACTGTTTTTTTTTGTATTTATTTAGACTGCTGTATCATTTACAACACTTCTACATCTTTCAACCATGGGATTATTATTATTAAGTCGAACTCAAACTACAACCAATATATCACCATTAGTTATAAAATATCTTTTATTTTTTTCGTTTGGAACTGTTATTGGTCTATGGTCAACGATTGCTATTCGTAAGTATTTATATTTAAAAGATAAAAAGGAGATAAAATCGATTAAGAGGCTTACTTTTAGATTGTTTATGTAATTCAACTAAATTTTCTTCATCCTCTACATTTGCTCAATCACTTGCTATTCGTTCTATGGGTCGTATAATAGCCTATACTTGTACATTACTTATATGCCAATTATTACTTTTCAATATCAATCTAATTTGTGTTCTCCTTATATTCTGTTTTATATTCATATGCTATTGCTGTTGTAATGAAAAGAAATAATAAAAAAGTCATTTTTCCAATTCAATAGCTTCAGGAAGGATATACTTTTTGCATGATAGTTTCCGTTTATATATATAAACATACATACATGAAAGAATATATAGAAACTATATTTTATGTTAAATAGACAATAATATATAAAATAAAAACGCAGAATATTAATATCATAAAAGCGATAATATGAATGCAGAAGAAATTTTTCAAGGATAGATGACCTATAATCTACTAAACTAGGACAATAATACAAAAAAGACCCATACAGTTGAAATGTTTTTACATAGTTTTATTTTTCTTAACAATACAATACTTTATACACAAGAGATAGAAGACAACCAGAAAAGAAAACTAAGCTACATACAGTGGAAAAAAAAATAGAGCTCAGATCCTGAGCACAATATATTCACTATTATATATTTCAAAACAAAACAAAAAAAAAACATATATGCACACGCATGCAAATTAAATAGGAAAATAATATATTTATTTTTAAGAATTTTTATTATTCAACTTTTTAGTTTCACTATTTCGTAAAGTGCTATTCTCTCTACTAAGAGTGTCTGCTGTACTTATATTCTTTGATTGAGATTGTAAGCTATCATCGGATGTTTCAGAATAAATTCTCGTCGATGATAACAAATTTCTCGTCAACGATGTAGATGAATTATGCATTATGAGTGGGCTAAAAACATGAAGAAATATTTTTTAATCAAGTTAATAAAAGAAAAATATGTAGACTTATAAATATATGTGCAAAGCTTTAAATAAATATGTAGTGGTCTTCTATAGTGCATATATATAGACAAATTAATATTAATCAAAGTTTATTTATTATACAATATCATTAAATAGAGTCGACTGTAGATAAGCAAAATCTGTAATGGTTCATTTCCTTATTGTTTTCATCTCGAACTATGACAATTTGAGTAAGTTTTTCTGACCTAGTGAAGACTATATCATTAAAAACCTAATATTCCAGTCTGTCACAGAGTTCTTGCGCTCAAATCCTGAAGTTTTTCATACACACTGACTAGTTACATAGAGGCCATAAAAGCAAGTTTATATCACAACGTAGTTAGTATACTATCAGATGGATGGTCTGAGACAAACAGCTTTTAGTGACTTGTCCAATGTCATTCTATGAAATCGACCATAAAGAGATCTTATGATCTTTATCATACATGGAAAATTGCATCTAGCATGAATTTATTATTCTTGTAATAATTAATTTTCAAATAAAACCAAGTTTTCTGAATCTTTTTCTAAAATATGAGCATCATTTAATGATCTGAACGAGGAACAATGTTTCATCCAGATTTTTCTCTGTCAGTGAGGGGGTGCAATTTAGAACTCCAGGAAGAACACTGATTTTTTTTTGTATAGTATGATCTATTTGATTTCCATTTAAATTCAAAGAAAAAATAACGCTGAAGTTCAAATAGAAATAAGTGCTACAGGATATCTATTTACATATGATAATACATAATTCCAAAGCTTCTTATATCCTCAGCCCCATCATCCAAATAAATAAGATATATCTATGTATAATTTTCAAGTTCTTCTAGTCCGACCGTGAAAAAGGGGCTATCTATATACGTATACATGTATATGAATGAATAATTCTTAGGTCCTTTAGACTCTTATGTCTGTTAGAAATCGAGGCTTTTTGGTTTAAAACAAAATTGAAATCCAGTGCGCCATTGTATGCTAGATCCCTACAATCGGATAGAATCTAGCGTCATTTTTTCTGAAATTCAATTTAAAATAAAAAAAACTTCATAGACCCCAGTAAATTCTATCTAATGATCAAAGTTTTTTTATCATCTTTAGAGATTAACTTGTTAGATAAAAAAAACAACAACAAAATATTCAACATGCTACCTTTGTACAAATGATTATGTGCAGATTCTTTTTTTGTCAACATTTTCTTTTTGATGTACCATCAAGGAGCAGAACTATTAGTGAGACTAGAATCGGAGGAGATTATATATGTAAGTGCAAGAAAAAGCAGTGAAAAACAATAAATAAGTGATATTATTTGGAATACCTCTACACTTTCATCAATGCTCATTATGAAAGAACCTCGATGTGATGATGAATCAGCAATAGATGATGTTCTTCTGATATAATATTAATTTACGTAAAGAAAAAGTATTAAATTAGTATATTTAAAAATAATTATAAGTTAAAATTATATTAAAAAATAAATAAATTAAATAATTTCTTACCGAGTTCGTGCATATGTTGAAGTTTCTTCAATCTCATCCTTTTCTCTTTGAGCTTTACGTAAGCGTAGTTTTGTTTGTGATAAATCTTCTTGTAATTCGTCTATTGTACGTTTCATTTTACGTAGACGTCCATCAGCTTTTTCAAACTCGAAAATTACCATTTAATTTAATTTTAAATTAATATTACAAAAAAGAAACATTGCCTTACTTCTTCTTTATAATAACTTGCTGCTTTTTGAGCTTCCTCAGCCATAGATAATGCTTCACGAAGACGTTTTTCCAGTAAACGTATATTTCGCGAAATCTTTTGTTTTTCTCTAGAAATCAAAGCAAATGAATTCTTTTTATGAAAAAAAAAGATATTAAAATTGAATTGAAAAACTATTCGAGTCGATTTCTTTATGATATCTTCGATTTATTACTGCATTTGCTTATTTGATGTTACAATCTTAACTAAAACAAAGAAATATTTTGATAACATACCGAACTTCATTATCAATTTGTTCTTCATATGCATGGATTTTAGCTTCAAAAGCAGCGACTTTTGCTTTCGACATTTCGTTTGCAGATCCATCATTAGCATCAAGTTGTTCACGTAAATCTCGAATTTGACGTTCAAGATTACTACGAATAATCTATATGAAAAAAAGAGTTCTATTTAAAAATTTTTCTTTATTAAATATACTTCAAGTTGTTTATTATTTTCTTTTTCAGTAGCACAATCAAATAAAGCTTGTTCATAATTTATTGTTAACTTTTTTAATTTATCACTATTTAATTCTGAATTTATTTGTTCCTCTTCAAGTTCTTCTTCAAGTTGATTAATACGTGCGTCAAATCGACGTTTATCATCGACGGATAAATTGCTAGATAAAGAAGAAATATTGGAGAAAAACAAGAGAATAATAAATATTTTACCATTCTCGACTAAGAGTAGCAATTTCTTGATGAAGTGCATCACGTTCTTTTTGAGTTTGACGAAGTTGTCGTTCAATAAGATCTTTTTCTTCTGCTAATTGTTGAATATTTTGTTCATATGTTTTTAATTTTGTTTGCCATTCTTTAGTAGTTTGATTTGTTACAGTATCAACATGTTTAATATCATCTAATTCACGTGTTAAATCGCGAATTTGAGTCTAAATGGAATAAAATAATTTTAAACACAAATAAGATTTTATTTACTTGTAATCGACGATTAATACGTATAGTTTCTTCTTTCAATCGATTAGCTTCTTCGATTTGTTGATATGAAGTTTGAAGATCAACTTCAATTTTTTTACGTTGTTGAATTATTTGTTGTTTAGATTTTTGTTCTTCTTGAAGTTCAGTTTCATATTCTTTTAATCTTAGATTTGATGAACGTTTAAAATCTTCAATTTCTCTATTACAATCTTGGGTAGCATTTTCTATTGTTTGTTTCAATGCACCAACATTTACTTCAAGTCGTAAACGAGCCTCTTCAGATGTTTGTAATTCATCTTCGAGTTCGGTTATTTGATGTTTTTGATCGTCAACAATTAATTCTAAAAAGAACATTTTAAATTTTGAAAAAAAAACTTGGAATTCTTGGAACTGATATCTTCCCTGTTTACCTAGTACAAGATATAATTAGGGAAACTAAATTCACGATTTATTTTCTTGCTACTTTATACAGGAATAGATCACATGATCCTTATAGTATTTTGATACAGAGTACTTAAACTGCTAATTTCTCGCAAAAGAATCGAGCTGAACCATTTTTGCTGAAACTTACAAGATGATTATGAAGATGATGAGATCTATTTTTTGAACAGAAAATTAATAGTCTTTCACTTGGACGTTTCTGTTGCCAACATTTATTATCGAAATTGCATCGACTTCTACAGACATCAAAATAATGTTTTTCTATATTCTTCTCTGTATTAATATATAAGATATTGCTCACTGAACATCTAAAAGTGAGAATAAACTAAAGAAGTCCCTCTTACAATGATAAGATATTTTTCTAGATGCTCATTTTTTTATCTAATCTATAGAATCAAGATATTGAAGATGTGATTGTGAACAAAAGAATATTAACAATGTATTTTAAGATTTGTCGGGAAGAGTGCATCGACACGGTAATGTAATCCATCTGTTTCGCTATAGGTTTTCATAAAAATGACTACAGAAAAATAGCAACTCTTTAATCAAGACAATATTTCATTAATGAAAGAAGAAAGAATATTCTTGCTGTTCGATTAATTTACAGTATGGTATTTTGTCTAGAAGCAGATTCAATAGCCTAATATCTTTCCTATGATTAATAGCTCTGAGCAGAAAGCGAATCTGACACAGAGTTCTTGCCCTCAATTGCTTGAGCTCTTCACTCAGAGTAATTAACTACAAGAGCGGATATACGTCACAACGTAGTTTTCAAGCTATCTGATGGATGATTCGAGACAAATAGTCATTAGTGACTTGTTTACTGAGTCATTCCGTGGCTCATGTCCTTGAGGTTTGAATACACTGCCTTAAGGGTACATGTCAATTAAATAGGCATTTAACCATGATGATTTCATTAATGAAATACATCTAATTTGCAGATCTATAGTTCAAAGCACAACATTCAGGTGATTATTTACTTATATGTCAAAGTTGAGCAAATAAAATCGAATATCTATTTGTTTAAATTATATTAAAACTCCCTTAATTTTTTGCCAATTTTCTGACTTTTAATCAAAATTTCGTTGAAACAAAGCATCATTCTTATATAACTTTTTTCAATGCTTTATTTATTATCAGATGAGAAAGCGTATGAAATTTTTTTCTTTAGATTTCTGAAAACAGTAGGTCGTTAACTTTTGTCGTTGTCGAATTATTAAGATTACATCTCGTCATCTTTAATTCTAGCGCATATATCAGTTATTTAATTTGCAAAAAATTATTTTCTTACCAAAATTTCGTTTAGTTTTTTCTAATTCTTGAATATATCTTCCAACATCATCTGTATTTGTTCTTTTATCCATATCTGTACGTAATTGTTTATAACGTTTATCTAAATCTTCATAAGCATAATTACGTTCATTTAATTCTTTTATTAAATTTAAACGTTGTGTTTCTTTTTCACGTAAATCTCGTTCATTTTGATCACGTTCTTGACGTAATTTTTCTTGTAATTTTTTTTCATCTTGAATACGTTTTTCATATGTACGTTTCATTTTTTCAACATTTTGTACAATTGTACCATAACGTTCTAATTCAACATTAAGATCAGTAATATCATTCGTAAGTTTTTGATTTGATTTTGTTAATTTTGAATTGATTAATTTTTCATTATCAAGTTCTTTTAATATAGCATCTTTTTCACGTTGTAATTGTCGACGAAGTTCTTCCATATGTTCAATTTGTTCACTTATACGACGTGATTCATTATTTTCTTGTGTTATTTGAGTTAATTTAGCTTTTATTTTATGATTTTCTTCTTCTTCTTCATCTAAACGTTCTTTTAATTCATTAATTAAATCTTCTGTTTGACGAAGTTTTGATAGACCATTCATTTTTTGACGATTTTCATCTTGTAATCTTTCTTGTAAATCTTGATTATCTTGTTTAAGTGTATTTATTGTACGTTCATTATTTTGTAAACGTTGTTCAACTTCAATATAAGCTGAATTTAAAGCTTCAATATTTTGTTGATAACGTTGTGATTTATCAATAGCTTCATTTTTAATTCTTTCACTTTCATTATATTTATGTAGAAGATCTTGAATTTGTATTTCTAATTGTTTACGTTTTCTTTCAATATCTTGTTTAAATATATTTAAATTTTTTATTTCATTATCACGATCTTTAATATCATTTTTTAATGGTTGAAGATCTTTTGTATATATTTGCATTTGTTTTTTAGCATTTTCTAAGTGTCTTGTTAATTCTTCAATTTCTTTTGCATGTTTTGAACGTATATCAATGATAATTGTTTCATGATTTTTTCGTGTTTGATATAATTCATTTTTTGTTGTTGATAATTGTTCTTCAAGTTTTTTTCCACGTTGAAGTATTTCTTGACTAACATCTGTTTTATCAAATATTTCATTACGTAAAGAATTATTTTCTTCCATTAATGTACGTTTTTCAGATTCTAAACTTTTACGTAGTTCTCTTTCATTAGTATAATCTGCTGTTATAGAATCAAGTTCAATTTGAAAATCACGTATTTGTTTTTGAAGATTTGCTTTTGCTGTAGCATCAGTTTCCGCTGTTGTCATAGCTTTAGTTAAATCATCATTAGATCGTTTTAATTGTATATTTAAATCTTTTATATTTTGTGTTAAATCTTGTAATTGACTACGAAATTCTTGATTTTCAATTTCAATTTGACGAATTTCACGTTCACGTTTTTGACGAAGCTAGAAATAATAGATGATTTCCAAAATTATTATGTTTTTTTTTCCTTTGAGAATTACGAGTGATACTTTGCTTATGACATTATTGAAATACAATATTCAAACATTTCAAAATAGTTTTTACATTCTTCAGGATTCAACTAGTAAATGACTTTAACATCTCTCTATAGTGACGTATTTCGAAAATTTTCATTAGATGTGCAGAGGGATTCAAGTCTTTTTTCAATGAAAGAAAAATCGTTTCTTTGAATGACTCATCCCTCTCGAGCCTCTTATAATAGTTCGATGACTTAGGTCACCTTACAGACCATGTATCCACTGTTTGTAATGTATCTTGAAACATTCATGGGTAGTATGCTCTCATTTACCTTTTTCTTTCCATAGTTAAACGCATTATTTCTATACTTTTCTCTTGAGATTCCGACAAAGGGTAACATTTGGTATTGATTTCTATTGTAGAAGCTTTATTATTTCCATTCCTAGTACTTTTTGATCCTGCCCATTATTATTATGGATATATATGTAAGCGTCCAATCTCGGAGTAGGGAAGACGTGTTTGTTAAAATCTTCATTAGTCCTCAGATAGATATTAAATTCAAATTCTTGTTGTGAATAATTTCCCGTAAAAGCTCTTCCTCTCTGGAAACTTATTCATATTACCTCAAATCTTGCTTCAATTTCTCCATCAACAAATTTATTACTGAAATTTTATTTCGAAATGATTTGGCAGCAAAAATTCGAATCTAATATCTACCCAGAAACTAATGAAGATTTCAACGAAAAGTTCTCCTCCGATTCAACACTCAGCGCATGTTCAATGACAATCTCCCATTGACCTAGATGACTCTAACATTGGACGCTAACATATTTTTTTTCAGAAAGCTTGTAAAATTGCATGCATTCGCACTCGATTTGAATATCCTCAAGTTCAATAGTCAGAATTCTTGTGAATTGCATGGATTCAATCTAGCCTTGCCAATTAAGCACAGCGACCAAAGAAATTTTTGAGGAATCTCTCAAAAACTATTGCAGTAGAAGCACAGTTTCAGTTGCAATGGACACCTCTAGTATGTATGTATGCAGTGTCTGAGAGTTTTTAAAAACTTTTGCTTCTTTTCACAGTTACCCCATCCTCAAGGGATTAAATATTGGCTAGTCTTACCGAATCCTACTGATGAGTAAAATCAGAACTCGACTAGTGTCCAACATTTGAATATTTTCTCTCGTTCACAAGTTTTTCGGATGAGAAATTTGATAATTATAAAGAGTTCGATCGAATTATATCAACTGATTCAAGAAAAACTAATTTCCTATGCGTAAATTTGTTACCAAATGTAAATGTTTACACTCTCAAAACTTTTTGAACATAATATACCTCAGTTTCACGTTTTAATCGTTCTTCAAGATCATTGCATTGACTTTCTAATTTAGTTTTAATTCGAAGAAGATTTTTTAATTTTTCTTCTTCATTTTGTAATTGAGTAACAGTATTTTGAAATTTATCATAAAGAACATCATGTTCTTTTTGAACCTAAATAAAAATATATTTATCAAAAATTAAAATTAAATTTTCTTTGTTACTTTAGCAAGATCATTTTGCAGAGTAGCAACAATATCTTCAAGATTTTTTATTTTTCCTTCTGATTGTATACGTTCATTTTGTAATTTATGTCGACTTTGTTCTTCTTCTTCGAGACTAAAAATTATACGTAAAGTTGTTCTTGTGTATTTTTTTTTGATAATATTTATTTAATAGTTATTTACTGTTCTCTTGTAACTCGTAATTGTTGATCATATTGTATTTGTTCCTTATTCGATCGATTTAATTGATCTGTAGCTTCTTGTAAACGTTGTTCCGTATCTTGTAATAAATTTTCAAGTTCATCTTTACGTGTTTGTATTCGACGTAAATTCTTTAAAGAAATAAATTACAATAGAAAAAGTTTTTGTTTCATTAAAATAAAATTATTTTTACATCATCTGATTCAACAAAAACATCATTTAAATGTGTAAGACGTTCATTAAGAACACTTCGTTCTTGTTGAAATAATTGTAATTTTTGTTCCATTTCTTTTATTTGTGTTGTACGTGATTCGACTTCAGTTTTTAAACGATCAATTTCTTCTTGTTTTTGTTTTAAGTCTTCTTCTTGTCTTGTTACATGTAATAATGGTTTGATTTTTGTAAATAAACGCCACCATTTCCAATTACGAATTTTCATTAAAGCACGACCATTACGTTGTAGAACACGTACAGCATTTAATTGTTGAATACGTCGTTGATAATTTCTTTAAAATTAATCATTTAGAAAAAAAAAGACATCGCAAAAAGAAAATATTGATTAATTTACTTTCGAGCAAGAACACCACGACATAATGCTTGAAATTGAGTCATAATATCAGTCAATTTAAAATCTCGTTCTTCTTCTAAATGACCAAGAACACCTGAACGAAAGAAGATTTTCGTGAGACCAATACGATAAAGATTTTCATCAAGTTCAAGTTCTTGAATCTAAACAAATGAATTCATTACATTGAAAGTAAAAAATTTTTCTTTAAAAAATAATTTTACCATTTTTTTTACTGCAGCTTTAGCATCCATAAATTCTTTTGGAATTGCATTTGGACAAAGAATTTCATAACTAAGAAGAAATGAAATTTAATGAAATATTAATGCAATAAATCGAAGAGATTATAGAAACTGATCAGTCATTTTCTCACCAAAAGCTACTAAATTATGAGTCACCGAATATACTGATTCAGAATATGATCATGAAAAATTTCCTTGGTCTTTATTAGCTAGTTTTTCGGAAGATAAAAATTTTTCTAGAATAGTTTCGAATTTACTTAGATTATAGAGTATATCGCATTGTGTGTAAGTCATTGATTATCCTTGTTTTCATAGAATGATTTTTATGCTAAATAATATCATCCGAAAGATTTTTGCATTAAAATATTGATATCTATCTGTCGTATGAATTAAGATGACTGTACAATCAAACACGTTCCCTCGTGAGAATAGTTTGGACTGGCTATCGTGAAAATGTTCTATGTCAAATCCGATTTAGGAGTTTTGAGATCGATTAGCAATAGTATAGAGCCAGAAATTCGCTAGCAGATATGGTTGAGAAACATTCTTAAGGCCTATCTATTTGAGCGAGTATTTCCTCAGTTTTTGTTACAAAAAAAAATGAGAGGGCAAAGATCGAAAGGATGGTGAGCAATACCGAGAACTTTTCCGAGACGATAATCCTCATTCGTTCTAACGGGAGATCGGAAAGTTTTTAGATAAGATGTTTGTTGACTTTTGACGCGCTAGAAAGTGTTTCCAATGAATTATGATCAGAATTATGTGCTCTTTTCGAATAACGGCTCAGACATTTTGTTTAAGAGTAGCGGAATAACTTTCGAAAAGTTCTAAAAATTAATTTGGGCGGCACTGGCGAATCAGTGTTTTCAGTGAATATGTTTGTTCACTTTGACCTTTTTGAAAGCACTTCAAACGAGTCAAAAACTATCGATTGTTGCCAGTATTTGAATATGGATCAAGAAATGTTGGGTTTATTTTTGTTCAATATTAGCAAGAGACTTTATGAAAGACTTACAAGTGGTCAACAAATAGGTTTTCATTTACTCTAGAAGTCACTTTTCGATCATACGCAAAATTGCCATACTATATAGTTTTGTAGAATGAATACTTCTGTACGAAATATGATATTGAACTGAGTTGTAGCTTTTACCCAAGTATTTTACAACACCTCCTTGCAATGTAAAACAGTTGTCGAACTTTCAAAAATGAGTATTTAGCAGAAACGATAATTGAGATGTCTTTTCGTAAGACAAAAAATTAGTGCATTTTCTAGGATACCTTCTGATCTACAAGATGATATATAAGTAAAGATTGTAACTTTTAGTTTCAAATTGCAATAGTAAAAATACAACAATTTTCTATTCAAAGTAATTTTTTGCCATTTTTTCAAAGATTACTTCACTAGTCTCGAATAAAATTTTGTCAGTCTATATTTGAAAAAAGTACAATATTCTGATCCTCACTCATCTGGAATAATTTCTAGGAGGTGAAAAATCAGCAAATATCTTATCTGAAAACTATTCAATCAACCATTATATGCTTAAAACGGACATAGCGATTTCTAGACTTTCTACAATTGAGTTGCAAAATTCTGAATAATAAAAATAAAAATGAATAATTCTTACCGTTGACGAAATTCTTGAAATAATATTCGATTTGGAAAACCATTTCTACAAATACGAATTCCTTCCAGTACACCATTGCATCTCAATTGATCAAGTACAAGTGGTGAATAAATAACACCAGACTATAGAACGAAAAACGAGGCATTCTTTAATGAATCATTTTTCATTTTTGCTAACCTTTTTTTCTTGATTAGGTAAAATACAACGAACAAAATTTGGATTTGTATTTCTTAATGTATTCATTAATTTCGTTAATTGTTCTTTATAAAGTTGACCAACTGTTCTAAACATTCCTTTTTTTATATTTGATTTTAAATTAGATGTTGTATCATTTTGATCTGTTACTGCTAGACCAACAATTTCCGCTGAAATGAAAGAAAATTATTTAATTTTTATTACAACGAAACAAAACAAACAACAGTACACTTCAATTCTCATGCTTAACTCACTATAATCAGGTATTAAAGAAAAATTTTGAAGAATAAGACAAGGTCTCATTCCCAAAACAATAGCTCAATAAAAAAAAATATGCCTAATTTCCTTAAATTGAAAAAGAACATAAAATTACCATCTTTCCATATTTCACGTGTAAATGTATCATTTGATGTTTGTAAAAGAGCAACAACATTATCATTTAATGGATCCATATTTTTCATTAACCATTGATCAGTTGAATAATCAACTTTACCAGCATAATGCATTATACTAAAATCAGATGGTGCTTTATAATTTGGTTTTCCTAGGTAGGACAAAGAAAAAAAAAAGCATAAGATTTAAAATATTATAAGCACAATACACAACCGAATTTTGGATGTTGAGCATGAGTATTGATTAATTTCTCGAGATATGTTCGATCTGTTGCTTTTGGAAACCAACATTGTTCATCTAATAAACTTAAAATACCCATTGGCTATAAATACCAAAAATATTATATTATAATATAAAATTATAATTTATAATTTACTTTTTCAATAAGATCAATTGTTGGTTGAAGATCAAGACCAAAATCAATAAATGCCCAATCAATATTTTCTCGACGATATTCTTCTTGTTCAAGAATAAACATTGTATGATTAAATAATTGTTGTAATTTTTCATTTGTATAATTAATACATAATTGTTCGAAAGAATTTAATTGAAAAATTTCAAAACCAGCTATATCAAGAATTCCAATAAATGATGAACCTTGTCGTTTAGTTCGATCAAGTGATTTATTTATACGTGTTACAATCCATTTAAACATACGTTCATAGATAGCTTTTGATATTGCTTCAACAGCAAAATCAACCTGAAAATAAGAGTTGTTTTTTTTTATATACAAAAGATTAACAATTCTTTCTTTCTTTCTTTTATCCTTCTCTTACTTGAACTTTTGTTTGTGCTTTTGTAACAAAATCTCTTCCAACATTTAGTTTTGGTTTTAAAAATGATCGTACAAAATCTGTTACCGATATTCCTAATAGATGACAAATTTTTTGTGCTATTGTATTATCTGGTAATGTTGCTTGATCAGTATCACGTTCTTGTTTAAATTCCATATTACCCATTTGTAAAACAGCTGATATCGTACGAAATATTGCATTAAGTTCATCATTTGATATAGTCATAATTTGCATTGCTTTTATTGTATGTTGAAATTCTTCACTATCATTAATACCTGATATTGTTAAATTTCCATTTGTTAAATAACGATAACGACTAAAATCTTCTAATAAATAATCAGCAATCATTTTTGTATTAGCGCTACGTAAAAATTGATAAAATATATGAAATGTTCGTTCATTTTTAGCTTGACGAATTGTACGAGATTTTTCTAATAAATATGTTTCAATTGATGCACCAGCAATAAAACCCGATGTATCAAAATTTATACGAATAAATTTACCAAATCGAGAAGAATTATCATTTTTTACTGTTTTAGCATTACCAAATGCTTAATAAAAAACGATAAGAAAATAATAATTTAATTAGTATTCTTTATTTTTTTTTACCTTCAAGAATTGGATTAGCTTGAAGCAGTTGTTCTTCAAGTTCACCCTAAAAACATGAAACAATAAATCTCAAATCAAATTTTTTCTTTTTCTACATACGGATATATCATTTATTTTTGTACCATACTGCTAAAAACAAGTTTCTTATTGAAATAATAAATAATAACTTATTTTTAAAATTTACCTGATATTGACTTGTGGTACTTCCTGATGATCGTTGAGAACTTTTCGGTGCTGCAGCAATATAAGCCAAATATTGAATAACTTTTTTTGTATTTTCTGTTTTACCAGCACCAGATTCACCTCTTAAATAAAAATAAAGTATAAAATTTTAAACATCTTATTGATATAACTTACGTGCATAAAATTGATTGATCTTCACGATGTTGTAACATTGAACGATATGCATCACCAGCAATAGCAAATATATGTGGTGGCATTTGCTCACGTTTTTTTCCTTTATACATTTCAATAATATTTTCAGAATAAATTGGTAAACGTTTATATGGATTAACCACCACACAAAATAAACCTGAATATGTATAAATTAATCCTGAATAATAACGTTCTTTTAAATTAAATAATACTGATGCATCATTTAAACAAGTTAATTCTGACATGTCTTCAACTTTATTAAATTTTGGAGGATTAACACGTTGTGTATCATCTTTATGTATACTAATACGTTTACCATTTTCTAAATCAACAATTAATTGTCCATCATTTTGTTCTTGACGTATTTGACCATAGATAAAACCTTCTTGTTCATCAGGTATCCAAACAAGTTTTTTTGCTGCCCATTCATTAGCTATTTTAGAATCAGCTATATTATCTCTTGAATTAGAATCTGATGGACGTAAATATTTCATTTCAGGTAGATCATAGTTATTATCAATTGTACTACTAACAGATTTATTAGTCGGAAGACTATTTGAAATTACCGACATTTCAATTAATGTTGCTTCAATTAAATAAAAAAATCATCTGAAATTTAAAAAAAAATCTAATACTTATCTATAGAAAAATATAGTTTTTTAATCATTTACATAAATATGTATATGCGGAAAGAAAAGAAAGTAGTACAATTGATTTGAGTCGATGAAAGACGACGAGCAAGTGAGATACAATATTGGATGTATATGTACTTGGTTGATATGTTCATTAAGAGAAGAAAAAAAGTTAGAAGAAAGCCAAAAAGAAATACGCTTCTTTGATTATATAATCTTTTCGAACTACTATTGTAGACATATATATATATATATAATTATTATTAACAAGTTAAACTTTATAGCAAATACTTATCCTTATATTGAAACTTAGGAAAGAAGAAATGTTTATATTAGTGTTAAATGATCAAATATAATATAAAGAAAAAAAAAACAAAAAGATTTCTACTCATCTATTTCGCTTTAAATGTTATTGTGTAAAGATTTAATGTTGTATGTATGTCTGTGTGCGTGTATAGGTGTTATAATAATAACCGAAAACAACAACACCTATTATATAAACTATTGCACCTTTTCTTTTTCTTTTTTTTTATCTCTACTCTGTAATGAAAGTAGAAAATGGCATAGTTTTTTTTCCCATTATTTTTACATTACAAGCATTTTTTTGATTGAATCATGCTTATATGTTTAGAGTGAGGTGCCATAGAGATAGATGATTGAATAAGATAATACGAATGTGTGTACGAGTATGTTGGTATATTAGAAGATAGTAAGGTTTTCTTATCAATCTTGACACGCGTGGTAGCAAAAGAAATCATCAGTAAATACACATGAACCATTTTACTAGAAATATAACTTTTGATGTTCATCATTATTATTTGTTGGATAGGTAGTAATTGAGCGAAAGATAATGAGATTTGAACTAAAGTGAAATATTAATTTCGATATTTCTTTATAGATTACAAAGAAAACTTTTTGATGTGAGTTTTTATCTTCAAGTATGTTTAAGATTATCAGTAACAAAAATTAGTTGGCTGGTGTCAAGTTATATATATAGACAACGAACGAAAGTGCAAGAAGACATCTTAAACAAATATTTAATAAGAAAGCTTGATAGGCAATTCATTTTCATATATGTATCTGGATATGATAGAACAAGAATAGTAGTAAAATATTTGAGTTATGTTTTGTATCGTTTTTACTTTTCTCTTGGACCAATACTCACATTAATTTTTTTTTTCTTCAAGTCAGTTAAATAGAAATAAGAAGTTATTTGAACAAATTGAAAATAACTGAATGTAAATATTAGAGAAATTTGTGGTTTTATAACATAACATAAACACATTTGATAGAAAAGAAACATTCACATGAATAGTTTAAATTACAGCAAGTGTCAACAAGAAGAATGTTTTATTTGTATCAAATAAATGAAGGTCATAAAATTCTGTCTTTATTATCCAATAATCAAAAGCTGAAGTTATGATTCATTTTTCTGTCTCACATTTGATAATAAAAATAAAACCCGTATTCAAGTTCAATGTTTAATAACCGTAATTCATGCAGTCTAATACAAGAAAAAAAAACATCTAGACCAAAAGTCCAACAATCAAGTTAATCTATAGACACGAAAACATATTACATTTTGCCGATGTTGTTCTCTCATTTCATAGGTTTTTTTTGTTTCTATTGCTCCTACTGTCGATGTCAATGATGCGATTCGTTTTGTAAGTGTTTCAAACCAACATTATATTGAAAGGAATAGAGCAAAATGTCAACAATTCAATACGTACTTCTCTAATGCTCTATCACGTGTGAGACTGATTGCTCGCTATCTCTTCTCTATTATTTGAGGTATAATCATTGCTTTTTTTTATAGAATCAATAGAACGTAGGTAAAAATAAATAAAACCACGTATTTCTCTTATACGAAAGATTTAATTCAACATAGAGGTGATGATGAAAGACAATCTTTCAATAAAGAGCACGCAACTTGTGCAAGTGCAGTATTAATGTAAATATAGGTAGTGAGCCATTGATTACACTGGGATTGGTATTCATTGAAGTATTGACATCTGTGTTCGCTGCAATATTGAGACATCGACTCAATCAAAATGTGTCCTTTTTCTAGAAGTGTGCTTCAGAAAATACTGAGGTCACTTTATCTTAGTGTGAACAATATACACTAATTATACTGAATCGGAGAGATCGGTAGACAGTAAACTGAAATGGCACATCTATAATTTAACAAAATCTATAAGATATGACAAAACAAACGAGATAATCCCTCTTTATAGAAGAATCTACTGGCATAAGTAATTGAAAAAGCTTATTTGACGAGGCGTTTTCTTGTTGTGAACAGACTTTTATTTCATTTCTTCTATTTAATAAAAAAAATCAGAAAATAGTACATCATGTGACTAACTATACTATGGCAAGAGGAAATTTGAGGAGCTAGGGAATTAACTTGATATAAAATTGAAGCATTTCAGATCAAACAATCAGACGAAAATCATAATCTCAGATATTTTATGCTAATTCGTATCAACAGTTTCCTGAATAATCATAATAAGACTGTAGGATATCTTATGTGACGGTAAGGTCTTCCAAAAACTCCTATAGTATAATTTAGTGTAGGATTTCTATGGCTAAGATTTTTTTTAATGATTTCATCTAATCTTACAAGAAATTACGTCTGGTTCTTTTGACATGAAATGTTATAGTTTTTTCTTTCATCTCTGATTTTATAATGATATTTGAGAATAAGTGCGAGAAAGTTGCTGTGACGAATAAAAGATGTCGTTATATTAATTCGATCGTTTCATACAAACCGAAGACATGAAGATTATAGTTAATCTTTATTATTAACATGCTTTATATACTATAAATATGCATTTTTAAAAATTGACTTTTATTGTATGATTGCATAAGCAGTTCACTTTGCAATGATTCATCCAAATTGTACTTATAGACTAAAAAAAAGCAATAGAGGATTGATAAAAAAATTCGACTGGTAGACAAAACAAACGAATGACTCCATTTGTCAACAGGCATAACAACAGCTGGTATTTTTCTTTTCCAATTATTGTGGATAACTTTAGTTAGAAGATCATGTTTTCTTCAGCTAACTATTTTCGTGATATTCCATGTCCATTTTTCTCTCGTGTTGCTTGCCCACGTCCTCATTGTCATTTTAAACACATACAAATATCATCACAATCAAATGTTAATACAAACACATCATCACCATCATCATCGTTAATTAATATACCACCAGGTTTGTTTTGCAAATAAAGAATATACTAAATACATTTTAAAAATCAATTATAGACGCAAATGAAACACTTAATAAACTTATTAATCAATTATCTACAGCAGCAACTGCGAATACAACAGGAGTACCAACGACAATAGCAAATCCAGCACCTTCTATTAATTTAACATCTATTTTACAAAATACATTGTTACAAAGTTTAACAACAGTTTTTGCTAATGCATTAAATTCAACACCACAATCCACAATTAATAATAATAATAATACTAATAATAATGAAGCAACAGAAAAATTAACACAAGCAATAAGTACCATAGCTACACAATTAAATCAACATCAAACTCAATCATCACAAACAACAAATGCTGCTGAAACAATTCCTGAATATCGACCAACACCAATTGCTGAACTTGAACGACGAAGACGAATACAACAACAACCAGTTAAGACAAATATAAAAACTGGTAATTGTTTTTGTTTTTGATCTATTCACTTATTTGATGGTAAACTAATTAATATTACTATCTAGAAGTACTAGATTTTGATAATGATGAATATGTTCAAGCAACATTTTCTCCACCATCAAGTTCATCACCTCCATCATCTCTTGATCAACCCAAACTGACCGAAGTAATAAATCCAAAAGTTTCGACGTAAGTAATCATTTTTTATCTAATACCATCTAATTAATATTTTATACTTAGTGCTCCGAAACCCACTCAAGCAGTTTTGTCACAAACTATTCCAAAACAAGCTCAATCATCTATTGTTGATGATAATCATTCATGGATAACACCACCAATGCGTCGAAAATTATCATCATCATCTGATCATAATGATTTAGATGAACGAAAACCTTTATTAATCAAAAAAGTCACATCATCAGAAACGATTCAACCACCTAAGAAAATACTCAACAAACCAACAGCAACAGTAAAACCAAATATTATAGGAACTACTAACAAAATTATTCCACCTACTAATCCAATGCTTAAACGAATTCCAAAAAAGACAACACCAACAAAAGTACGTATAATGGATATTGATTTAGATAAAGTTCCTGTTACATCAACAATACCACTTGATACTGATACAATTGAAAATAAAAGAATAACTTCAACATCACTTAAACGTTCATCAAATAGTACAAATGAAATACCTCAAAAGAAAGCGAAAATAATTTCAACAACAAAACCAACTATATCAACTACTGTTGGACATGATATGAAGAAGAAAATTTCTGTTACGAGTAGGATTATTATTATATTTTTCTAATGAAAAAAAAAAGTGTTCAAGTAATTCGCAAACAGAATATATTGCTATCATATCTTTGTTACGCCTAGCTTTGAAATTTTAATTTTAGTAGATAATAAATAGATAGCACACCTGCCTGCCTGATGTCATATTTTTAGTGTTAATTATTGCGGTAGAAATATTGAATAGTTTTGAACTATAAGAGTAGATATCTCCGTTGCTTAATTTGACTTAATTACAATACAATAGTAGAATATATTTTCATCGAAAGATAAAAATTGACAAATGAGGGAATCTCTCTATATATCTAATCACTTTTCAATTAGGATGATGTTCATATGATAAGTACTAGTGAGTTATAGAAAAGTCTAGAATGGTCTGGTTGTCCAAGTCTTTATTCTCGAGATATTGAAATTTTTCAGTGAAGAACTCTAGTCTCCCTCAGAACACGTGAAAAATCAACTTGGAAGTATTGACTTCGAAATTTGTACAAATTCTTTTACACATGAGAGAATATCGAATATTGAACATAGAAAGTATTTTAAATAGTATTTAATGATAAACTCTGTCAGAATTTTCTTATTCTCATAGAAATCTTATCGTATTCAAAATATGAAGTTTTAAAAATGACAAATTAACCCTCATCGATGGAGCCTGTCGGGTTGGTTCCGAACTCAACGGGTTTTAGTTGTCTGAGAAATGTGTATGGCATATTAGTCACCAAATACAAAAAATTTGGGAAAGAATATCTCGTATCTTCAGGGTGGCTATCCAATTTCGATTACAAAATTTCATTGACAGAGAGTTTGAATCCAACGAGCTCTACCTTATCATACAACAAAAAAAATCATTTTAAAACATTCCAGAAAACTATACTTATTCTATTTAGATGGAATCAATAAAAGTCAGATTAATGATGAAGACGATGAATTAGCTCTATTCGATCATGCTTTTTCATCTTCCAAACAAACAGAAACATCAATCTCGTCCAAAAAAGTAACTTTAGCTATACCACCAACTTCTATTCAACAATTTACTTCACGTTATTCATCATTAACAAATATTCAAAATGATTCCAATTCATCAGTTTCAACTAATCATACTCGAGCAGAAACTTCTACTGATGGTCGTCGTATTGCTCATCAACCAAAAGTTCATCCAACTGCAAATAATTCTTCATTTACACCTTTATTACAACCGTTAGTCGATCCAAATTCAAGTTTAAATAAAATTCCATTTAAAACTCGACAAGAATATTTAACATTTTTCTTAAATGAACTTAAAAATCGACCAACTACTACGAATGATTTAACAACTCCAACAACACCAGTTTATTCACGTGCACAAACAATTGAAAAAGAAATTTTTGATAAATCAACAAATAAAAATTCATATTTAAATTTAGCTGCGAAACATTTAAGACAATTAAGATCCGGAGAAACAAATACTAAAACTAAAAATGAGCAAATCTCATCCAAAAAACCAAATGTACAACGACTTGTTGTTTCACATTCAGCTATGCTTACTAGTGGTAAAACAGATAATCTTAGTTTTGGAATTAAAAAACACAAAGAAATTGATATTAAAACATTAACAGGTGTATAAAAAGGAAAAAGAAATTCTTTTCCTTTTTTTTCTTTTTATAAATAATTCATAAATTTTATTTAGACAATGAACTTTATACACTATTACTCGTCTATAAAACATCGGAAAGAGATCTAATAGAGAATGGTTATCCAGCATTTTCACTTGATTTTCCTGATAAAGTTTTAATTAAAAATAAAAATCCGATTTATAATTCAACAAATAAAAATTATTCGTCTGATCGTAAATATATATTTCGATTTCATATCAACAAAAAAAAAAAGAGAATAAAATAAATTTTTATTTTATTGTAGCAAATATTCGTTTGTGTTGTCGATGTAGTAAAACTTATAGAATTGATAAAAACGAAGAATATGTAAAACAAGAAGATTGCATTTATCATTGGGGACGCATGCGAACACAACGAAGTAAAATAAAAATTGTTTCTTTTATAATGCAAAAGATTAATTTTATTTTTAATCATTAGTTGCTGGACAAATTGAAAAAATTTATTCATGCTGTTCTGCCAAAATAAATGCAGTTGGTTGTGCTGTTGCAAAATATCATGTACATGAAGGTGATGATACGCAATTATTATCAGGTTATGTTAAAACTCAACCTCTTCGAAAACAATTAGGTGCTAATGAATGTTATGGCATTTATGCGCTTGATTGTGAAATGGTAAGAATATCAATATGGATATTTGTAAATAAATATTAACTTTGAAAATAAATTCTACATTAGTTGAGAAGATAATTTGTTGTATTTTAATAGTTAATCTTTTGATATTTACTAATTGATTGTAAAGATTTGATAGATGTATAATTTATAACATACATTAGTTTATACTATAGTTATTAAAAATATATATATTTAAAATTTTAAAAGCTATGCATGATCGATAAGTAATTTGACATTATTGTATTAGAATTACAATTTTGTGAAATTCACATATATTGTTCAATTGTAAATTTTAAGTCAAAGTTTTGGAGTTCCTTTCCTTTTCTAGAATTCCTGAATAATTAAAGATTAGATTTAAACTACCCTGCAATATTTCAAGGCTTTCGTTAAAATTGTAATAAGCTCGTGATTGTTCTAAAATAGTATAGTTTCTGATTTTTGAGTAAATAAAAATTTATATTCAAAAGACGTCAAGGATGGTTCATAGATTTGCCATAGTCATCATATGAGCAACATAAAAAGTGTAAACTGATCATCAATATTAGTATTTATGAGCATATCAAAATACATTATAGTTCATCGTAACCTGCTGTAGATACAGTGGATATATAGTTTTACCATTTTCTCACCATGGTTTTCATCGCAAAATTTTTCCATAAGAAGTTAAAAAAACATAGAGCATGAATAGTCTACAAGAGATTTTTCACTTGCTGTATTTTGTGTTAATATAATAAGGTTAAAGAGCACGTGTTAGTTTTAGAGACATAAACATGAAGTTTGAATGGAGAAAATTGTAGTTGTTTTTTTTACGTAGAATTAAAAGTGAGATTGTTCTCTTTAAAATGGTATAAGAATCAAAAGTTTCAGAAGAATCATTCAAGAATGACTGATCGCCTTTCGTAAGTCTGATATAGTATACAATATTTGGATTTTCATCAAATGTTTTCAAATTTCTGCAGAATCTTTTAAGAGACTGAAAAATGAATGATCATTTTATCTTATGACTTTTTCGATCATCTTTTAATATTTTCTAGTGTTATACAATCAATGGTCTTGAACTTGTTCGTGTTAGTGTTGTTGATCATAAATTACGACCAATATATGAAACTTTAGTTAAACCTCATCATAAGGTACTTGATTATAATACTCGTTGGTCAGGAATAACTGAAAATCAATTAAAAGCTTGTAATGTAACAATAGAAGATGTACAAAGACATTTATTAAAATTATTTAATGATAAATCAATTCTTATTGGTCATTCATTGGAAAGTGATTTAAAAGCATTGAAAGTAACAATAAAAAAATAAAAAAATTCATTTCTTTAAATTATTTAATTTATATTAGATTGTACATGAAACTGTTGTTGATTCATCTCTAGTTTTTCCACATGCAAAAGGAAAACCATTTAAACGTGCATTGAAAACATTAATGGCAGAATTTTTAACGAAAATTATTCAAGAAAATGGTATGAAGATAATTATTTACACACGCAAAAAAAAAATATATATATTTATATAATTATTATGTATGTTTTGTTTTATTTAGCCGACGGACATGATTCAATGGAAGATGCTATATCATGTATGGAACTTATGTTATGGAAAGTAAAACAAGATCTTAAAAGTGGTTCATCGAATCATTAAAATGAACATTTTTCTATATTTTCTTCGATAGTAAAAATATTGCTTTTGTTTCAATATATAAATATTTATTTCTATATACATAACTTAAATATTCGAAAACATATATATTTATATTAGTCCATAATTAACGTCTTTCGTTCACTTAATTTCTAGCGAAAATGTTTTCTGTGCATGTGTGTATTTTTTTTCCACTAAAAAAAAAATGAAGTGGTCTTTTGAATAATTAAGAATAAATATGACATAATGAGTTTTAAAATATAAACCCATAATTTAGTTCAATGTAAATAATTTTAATAAACAAGGTAAACACGAACGAAACTTTTGTGAATTCGACAGAAGTCTTTAATTTTCTTTAATTTTGTTTTGGTTTCAAGTGTGTGTCAAGATCGCCAGGATTGGAAGATAAGAGTCGTTCACTTGAGCAGCCTATTGGGCGATTTTTGCTAAAGCTGAACGTGCTTTAGTTTGATGAGGATTGAGCGTCATTTTAGGAGTAGGTGAGCAAAAAGAATGATAAAATGTTGGAACTCCACTGAAGAAAAATCAGAAACTATTCAAGTTTGGGGATTACTTTTGCCGCTCAGGACACTCCTGTTTGGTTTGAATCATAAAAGCTACCGCTATTTTTTTTTTTTTTGTAATTCCTATATGAATTACAGAGCTCAAATTAATATTACTTTGCAAGATTAATCGTTCATAAGCAAGTTTACGGATTGATTTTTTATCTCAATATTTCTGATTTATTATTCATCTATCCATGATTCTCTGGTCTTTTCCAGATTTGATATTGCTATAGATCAATACCTTTATTATTTGTTCAGCGGCAATCAAATAACACAAATAAACAAAAGATTACAATAAGAACAAGGTTTTTAGAACAGAAAGCAAACACATATCCATATACGACCTATTTTTCTGTTCGTATTTGTATTGTAGACTTTTGTTTGTTGAGCTCAACTTCCTATGCTATCAATATATATTATAAAAAAGTCAATAAAATTGTCTTTTGGAAATGTTTTGATCATTTTCATATGTTTATGTTTTACAAATTGTGTAAATCAGCATCGTCATCAGTAGTATCACAGAATGAAGGATCAGCATTTAGCATGATGTTGTTCGTATTTATATGATCAGAATAATCAAATATATCAGGATAATTATTATTTATATGAATAGAATCTACGGATAAGTAGTTGGTTTGAAATAAATTCTATTGAAAATAACAAAACAATCAAATAGTTTCTGATTATATAAATTGAAAGAAATAGCAACACTAAAGATATTTTCTACAACATACTGAGAGAAGTTCTGTGTCGGATGGTGAGGTATTTAATGTTGTTTGAGATGTAATACCTGTAACTTGCCTCTCGTTATAATACACTGGAAGACCCTGATTGAGATACGTAAAAGAATCATTAATGTCTGTAGAGAGATTTGTCATTAATGAATGATCTTCTTCGCTAGTTTTTTTGATACGTTTCGATCGTTGATTTGCAATATTTCCTAAAACATACTTTTTGTTATAATCAAGAGATAAAGAGAGGAGATAATGTACGAAGCTTCTTTGAGTGATTTCGTTTCGATGATTTTGATGTTGCATTTTTCGGAGCATTCAAAAGATTGGCTGCGTTGGATATGATTATTCTTTCTAAGTGTTCGAAAAAATATTTTCTATCTGTAATATACTCACTTTTTCTTACTTTTAAAAACCATTTCGTTGGATAGAACAATAGTTTCCCATTGAATAACATCATCTTTTTGTAGAACAAGGGCTAGACGAGATTTATTATAATCATATGATGAGTCTGGTAATTCGCTTTCATAGGTATTTTCAAGCTGACATAAAATATTTAGGGAAACATCAGGATGTTTTTTTGCTCCTTCAATTACAACCGCTATTAATTTGAGTCTATAAATGATAAGAAAAAAAAAATTCAAATTTGAAAGAGTAACTTTAATTTACTCCATCCCCTGGTTACTCATCCAATCGTCACTTGTAATAGGTATTTTATATGGATTGAACAATTGTTTTACATTATCTTTTTCCACAAAAGCTCGTTGTGAATGATAGAAAAGTGACCGCTTACCCGATTGATACACGTCCAGTATAATGAAAACAAGTAAAGTCCAGACGTGAGCAATTCTGTTTTTAATATCATCATGCGAAATCTGTCAGTAGTAAAAAAAACAAACCGTAATGGTAGCACTCATACTAGAGATGCAGCAGTGAGGGTGGTCATCAGTTCACTGGTCTAGACATGCACGTGTAAAATAACGGTGTTCTTTGATTCACTTCAAATCTTTTGATTGAGAGAAACCTATTTGAAAAAAATAGCTGAATTTTATAAAATATGACCTAACTGTAAAACTAAGTCTTGCCCGAACAATTACCATTCAACTATTTTCTTGAAACAACTTCTCGACCAAAAAAATAGAAATCAATAGTAGATCATCAGTTTTATCATGCGTTCATCATTAATCTACACGTATATGTTTAGACCAATGTACCATCATCACCGATAGATCCCTAAATCCTAAATATCGTATTTTTTTATATGCTTACTTGAAACCGAGGCAATACACTTTTATATGTCTTCGTTGAGTTTTTTGGAGCTTGAATCATACTAAGTGAACCAACGATTTCTCCTGTACTCACATTTATTCGATCACAAACGTACTGGTCTCTTTGTTCACTATTAACATTGTAACCAGGAATAAAGCCCATTTTTGGTTCGTTAGATAACTGTACAGTAAGATATTTTTTCAGCTTTGAAACCGACACAAATTGATCAATTTCTTGAACATGTTCATTTTTCTGGATGACTGGTTCCAAAACTACAAAATGAAATTATTGGTTAAAATACATAATTGTTTGGATATAAACAAACTCTCTTCAGGCTTCATGAGTTCTTGATCAATAATAGACTTGTAAGCATAGTCTATAGAAGAAGAATTCATAACTATACACAGCAAAGACGATTCGTTATCAACTAACTTACTTAACAAGATAATTTGCACTACCACTGTAGGTGTTGGTGAGTTGATTGGTTGAACAGTAGTTGTGTCGATTGTTTTAGCTTTAAAAGGATCATAGTCTTTCAAATAATCATCATCCAAAGTGACAAAATCATCATCTTTATCATATATTTGAATATCAAATGGATGCTTGAAATTTCTACACTTGTTTAAGATAAAATCTTCAACATGTTTTCTTTTTGTTATTCCAGTAAGTTTCGGTGTCTTATAAGTACATATTTTTTCACGATAACAATTAAGAATATTTAATTTTGTATGAACTTCCATGACGTTGCTACCTTAGTCTTCTCGTCTTTTTATATGCATATAATGTACATCTGAATATCACACATACGATTAGAAAAACGATGGAAAACTTCATCTCAACATATGCAAAATCTGAACCAATCAAATGTTTTTCTTACTGAGTCACTGAATTTTGCATTTGAAATAAGCAAGAACGAAAAAAATAAATAAATAAACTTCATCTGTATAAAAACAAGAGCACGAGTATTCGAGCTGTTGCCTACCTTTCTTCCTTGTTTTTTTGTCGTTGCATACGGTGAGAACGAAAAAAAGAAAAAAAAAAATTTCTGCTGGTAGGAAAGTGCGCAGGAATATTCAAGCCAATGTCTTACCCGTTCTTTACATCGATTGAAAAGTACAAGAGTATCAACCGATAGGAAACATTACGATTTCATCTCCATAAAAACAGGTGAACATATTCAAATTTATTTATCATATTGTCTATAACATTTAAAATAAAATACTATTCAAGATAAAGAACATTCATAAACGTTTCAACATTTGCTGCATACTATATATACAACAATAATTGTTTTATTCCGTATATGGCCTCGTACAACCTTCATCTTCGACATAACTACAAATTTTATCGTTTTTACGTTAACTCAAACATGACTTTAAGTTGTATCAAAGATATAGTTGGAGAATTATTTGGTATTAGGGCAGATACTTTCGAAATTCAAGTCGACGATAAATGTTGCAACGATATATTTGTGTTAGACGATGAATATTTGAAAGAATTACACGAACAATTACCTCGTACATCTATCAGCGAGGTTTTCGGCTCTGTTTTGCTAAATGCTTTTTCATCAGGTGAGTTTAAGTGTATAGAATTACATTATAGAAAGAATTCTATTCTAAATAGGCATCTGCAAAGTAGTCCCGGTCCCGCCGGGACCGGGACCGGGACCAAAATTTTCAAGCTGGTCCCGGTATTATTTTTTATCAGAAACTCGATTCTGTGTTAAGGTATTTCTTATATTTTTGTGATCAGAAATCTAAAAAAACAGCAATTTTCTTTACAATTCTGATAAAAATTTTCATCGATCCTCGTTTCAGTTTCAAGAATCGGAATTTTTTCACCATAATACAGTTTTTAACTGGCATCGAGTCCAGACGGGGACCGGAACCGGGACCAAAAAAAAATTTGGGCCGGGACCGGGACCGGGACTGGGACTGAAGAAAAATTTTGACCAGGACCGGGACCGGGGCTAAAACATTTTTCACCGGGACGGGACCGGGACCGGG